AAAAACAAAAAAAAAAAACAATCTAATATTTAGTTAAAATTTTAAATTTGTGGTCGCAATGTTTCATCATTTTACCGACCTCTCTTAAATTTTTTTGCATTCAGATTCGAAAATATCGGGACTAATCTCTTCTCTTTTGAATTCGAAAATTTCGCCGGAAGATTCCTATAGAGTTTTAAAGCGAAAGCTTTGCAGTTTTGAAGGCTTTATCTGGACATTTCTTCGTTGAAAACAATGAGTGGGTGATGAACATGCCTATCAATGCTGTTCACAGAAATGGTTATTAAAGTTTGTAAAGACGTTTTTCAGAAGATTGTTTTCAAGACGATTTGATGCGTAACACAATGAACCTGTAGCTACACATTCAATGAARGGAGGTGGTTTGCAGAACTTCTGTATGGAAACTCTAAAGCGTCTGGTTCATTTAGTTTTTCATTTTTGTTTCACCAACATTCATTAAGTGGCAAGAAACAGGCTTTCTAGATGATGGGTTGCGATCCAGTTATATCAGTGAGAGAAGGTGATTCACATGTTTCTTATTTTGGTATGGAAACGATGAAGCGCCTGGTTCATTTAGTCTTTCAGTTTTTTTATACCAACATTCAGTAAGTGTCAAGTGAAGGGTTGATGATACGTTCGCAAGATAAAGTTTCAAACTAGGAGCTTCTTTGGAGGCGAGCAGGAGAAGAACTAGTGGCTCTGCAGATAAGAAGAAGGAAATGGGGTTGGATCGGTCACACGCCAGACTTGCCTAGAAACAGCCGAAGGAGAGATGCGTAGATGGAGCTGAAGTTGAGTGGTCGGAGTTGCAAAGATATTGGTCGCTTATTATAGTATCTGGCAAACGTTTGTTCATTTGATCATCCACCCGCTTTGAGAATATCTTTTAGGGTAATTCCCGAAGCGGCTTTCCCACTATTGCGAGAAAATGTTGAAATGTTAATTCCTGCCGCTCCCATGACACTTTTGGTCCACTTAGTAGCAAAAGTTGAGTTAAACTTACTGGCTTGTGTGGTTTCACATAGCTTATCATTAACTTCGTGTGGTTTTACCTCAACGCTTTCGTCATGCTAATGTACCATTTGATATGSTCAACCACACATAACCGTGCATTAAGCTCGATTGGTGTCAAATATTTGCCTGGTCTTGAGGTTTTGAGTGTGTCTCTTATGGTAAAGATGTATCGATCCTGGGTAACTTGCATGAATTGCATGTCCAATTCAGTCTGACATCGTTGTGTCGTCAATAAACACAGTGGCGTAGTTAAATTCATGGTCAGAGTCTTCGAACTTAATTCTGTGATTTTAGGAAATGTTTTGAGATAGTTGAGGACAATGCTAACGTCCCACACGTAAGCATAACGTGGTAAGGAGGGTTTAAATTCGAACACTTCCGTAGAGTTTTATAACAATGGAAAGCGCTGATCTAGAGGTATTAATTTCCTTTATTTTCTTTCTCTCGTTATTTCCTTTTTTCTTTCTCCCATTCTGTCTACTACAGTCGCCCCTTCATTTTTCTCCTTTCTTCCCTTCTTGCTTTCTTTTTTTCGTTCATCCTTTCTTACCTTATTTGTCAGTTTAGTTATGTTAGATGGACATGTGCGATCTTAAAATCGTCACACTACATATCCGTTTTTTAGTTGAATTCGAATTCCGCATAAAGTTTTTTTATAATATCTTTTACTTTAAAATCTTTTAAAAAATTGTATGCGATTTCTCTTGTTTGGAAAAAAATCGTTGCTGCTTTTCCTCAGAGTTCTATGGAACTATGCACAAGATCCTGAGCGGCTTTTTCTTTTTTTCTTTTTTTCTTTTTTTCTTTTTCTTTTTCTTTTCTTTTTTCTTTCTTTTTCTTTTTTTTTTGCTTAAGGTCTAGGTCTTGCAGGAAACATCCATGAAGAGCAGTGAATCTTCCTCTCTGTCGCTGATATAGGTCAAAAGTTCAGTCGTCTATGCTCAAGATTTGGACCGTTTCTTTCTTATTTTTTTCCCTCAAAATCTCGAGGTCAAATTCTGGGGAAAAAATCGTGACTGAAATGTAGCAAATCTACCTCTAACAGTGTCCACCCTGGAACTTCTCATCGATTTAAAATCAATTCCTTTTCTAATAATCGCGTTAACGTCTTAATTAAAATAGATCTCTCTTGACTTGCTAAACAAGAATATAATCCACCCACATGAATGCAAACAGTTAACAATAGTTTTGAAATGACAAAGGTCGGATAAATAAAATTTAATTTAAATTTTTTTTTGCACGCACCAGGTGGGCAGATATAGTTATTGCGAAAATAAAGCGCGAAAGCTTTACAGACAAATGTTGAGAATAAAATCGTTATACAACACTTTCCAGTAGGGAATATGGGTATATGGTATATATATCAGAGAGATGGCGAGTTTGCTTCGTTAGATAATTTAAAAAAAGAAGCTTAGGAATTGACATAACATTGGTGATATTCGCTGTTAATATCCCCAAACCTTGCCCAATGAACGACCAGATTTATACTGGAATCAAGAAGAAAAAAAAACAAAAACAGAGTAAGCGATGCAAAAAGATTAAAAAAAGAAAAGAAAAGAAAAGAAAAAAAAAGGGCAAAATAATCGATTCCTTGACCTAAAAGTGTGCTAGTGCAACAATAGAAACAGCTGGTAATAGGAACAGAGTAAGACAGGCTAGTACCACAAGCATCCTCTTTCTTATATCTGACAACATCCGAGATACCAGCCAACGGTTTTGGTTGTTGGGCCTTAAAGTATTCGTTAACATATAATTGGTAAGAAAGGTTGCTATCCGATAAAGCTTGCCCAGTTAAATAAAGCACTGGAGATAAGGAGGTGGGATGGTTTTGTCAGAAAATTTGACAATCTCCTCGCTTTAATATTGACATCCTGCAAGGTTTACTTCGAAGTAATCAATTCTCCTTGAATTACAAAGACTTATTTCATTAATAAGACATCAATAATATAAGCTTATCATATTTATATTTCGTTAACAAATATGATGGAAGGAATAAACAATCTTCGCTATTGATAATTCTTGTCTACGCGGTCGGTGTTTTACTTACACATGACTAATAACCTTGGACACCTGTCTATCCAAACTCATATATGTTCTTTTTCAAATAAAACACTTGGTTGTTAAGACTGTCGTATACAAATCAATGTTTTGGATCCCCTTTTTCAGTTTTCTCACCGACATTTTATGCACTACACAAGAGGTACTCTCCCCATTTATCCCTTTAGTACAGCTACAGCTTAACGCCTGTTAGAGCAAAAGAATTGGCAACGAACAGAATCGAGCCGTCATAAAAAACAGAAATTTATTAATGGCGATGTCTCAATGACTGTATGAAAATCCTCAACATTTCTTGACTCGCGTTACGAATATCCCCAAACCTTATCAAATAAATAACTGGGTTTATGCTGGAATTAAGACACATCAGAGTAATCGCTGCAAAATAAAACATAGTAACTGGCTCCTCTTTAAAAACCATTTGACCTGCAATCGAACATACCAGGGGTAAATAACACGAAAGAAGACATCCTAGTACCACAAGCATCGTCTTCAAAGTTTTCTTGTATCTGGCAACATCAAAGTTACCAGCTAACGGGTTTGGTTGTTGGATGTGAATTTGGACTGTGTAAAGATGGAGAGCTCTGAAAGACTTGATGTAGCAATATAAGATGACTAATAAGAGGACTGAGGCTAGAATGACTGCCACTTTCATCAAAAAACCCACAGAATTTTCTATTAATGTTAAAGATGCTAACAACACAGCAAAGATCCATAAGCTAACGATCGATGAGCGGACTCGTTTCCTGGTGACAATAATGGTGTATCGATGTCTTAGGGTAAGCGCCAAGTATCTGTCTATACTGATRCATGTGACCATCACCAGAGAAACAAAACCAAAATAAGACAAAAGGAAAATGTGCAGTATAGCCAATCTGCAGAATCTCTTGTAATTTTTCTGCAAGTAGTAGGTGCCCMAAATTATCTGGAATGGATGAAATACTAAACCAACCAGGAGATCAGTGAAGGCTAAACTTGTTATCAGTAAGTAGGAYGGCGTTTGTAGGTTCTGGGATCTCAAGATGGCCACTATAATCATTGTATTTCCAAAAGTTGCAGAAATACTAAGAATGCCATTTAGAATAACGTCAATAGTTATGCTTTGAACAAAGTTTCTGCTGCTAAGACTGTGAGCAATTGTCGTTGTCATACCTGGACAGTTCTGCAAATCCTGACTTATGTTCATATTGTTTTCACAGTCTTTCCTTTCTAAACTATCTTCCAGTCTTCTTGTCTTACTTTGTTGGGATCTTCACTGGACCAGTTTGTTGTGGTTCTCGATACTCGCAGCTCAATGCAAGCCCCTTGGGTTTTGGAAGAAACTCAGGACTTTCCAGTTGTTCTCACATTTAAAAACTGTTGTTTCTACTATGCTCAAGTCTAAAATACGTAACAAATTTGAGGACAATTGAAAGAAGAAGCAACTCAAGGTTTGAGGAAACGACCTTCACATGCCTTTTAATCTCTTGCTCTAACCAACTACTTTTTTATGGAACAGATGCCTGCATCACGATACGCTGCCAACTGATCACCAACCAATGTCAATTCAAAACTTAATAAAAACTCCTCAGTGGTATTACTGGTTAAATTTTAATTTGTTTATCATTCCAAACACGTTAATCAAACACTTCAATAGACCTCTTGACAGGCTTCATATATATATATATATATACAGCCATTTGCAAAAATTATGGCCGCTTCCAATATATATACAAGTATATCAAAAGCATATCAAAAATGATGGGATATCATCCCTGATATTTTATTTTGAATTGTCTATCACTAGGGCTTTCTGAAAAAAATATCAAGAAAGATATCCCGCCCTGTCTGATATGCTTTTGATATACTTGTATGTATATTTGAAACGGCCGTAATTTTTGCAAATGGCTGTGTGTGTGTGTGTGTGTGTGTGTGTGTGTGTGTGTGTGTGTGTGTGTACATATACACTCGATTGCAGAAACGTTGTAGTATATATTTATGCATTTATACAAATACCTAATGAGATGCATATTTCAATTTTACTTTTTTAACCCTCAGAACCAATTGATTTATAATCCGTAGGATGTAAAACACGAGAATAATATATTTTGACGTTCATTGAATGAGACAAATAATGAATAAAGCGAGTTTTCTGTTTTGCATATCATTAAATATACTGAATAAATTAGGTATTTGTATAAATGTATACTACAACCTTTCTGCAATCAAGTGTGTATATATATATATATATATACAAATAACTTTTTTTATAAGGATGATGCATGGTTCTTTAATTTAAACTCGAATAGAAGTTTTATTAATACATTGAACAAACATACATTAATATAAAGTCAAGCCACCTGACTCACTTCATACCAGATGAGTCAGGCTTTGAGTAGAGTGAAAAGAATTTTGACTCCAATATAAAATTAATGAGAGCAATAAATTTCTTTCAAGCATTAATTTTTTTAAAATTCCATAAAATTCCATAAAAATAGAAAAATATTAACTCCAATAAATTCCAATTGGATTCCATGGTTCCTTGCTAGCAGAGTCTCCCTCCTTGGCGATTTTCCCATTTTCTCTGAATCGCCAACGAGGGAGACTCTGGTAGCAGGGAAATTTCATGGAAGAATCACTCTATGAAACAATTGCTAAATTTTCATTGATGAGATCTGTTAAATATAATCTGTGAAATATTCTTAGTAGGAATATTATTGCGTGAATATGGATTCTCATGAAATTAGTGTAGAAGATTCCTAAACAACTGATGACACGCGTTGCGAATATCTGCAAACCTTATCAAATAAATGATTGGGTTTATACTGGAATTAAGACATATCAGAGTAATGGTTGTAAAATAAACGACCAATTCTCCCTTTCGGTTATCTAACATTTTCCACATTGAAAAAGCACAAATTGACGGTACATAGCAGATCAAAAGACATGCTAGTACTAAAAGCATCGTCTTTAAAGTTTTCTTGTATCTGACAACATCAAAGTTAATAGCCAACGGGTTTGGTTGTTGGGCGTGAACTTGGACTGTGTAAAGATGAAGAGCTCTGAAAGACTTGATGTAGAATACACAGGTTATTAAAAGGAGAGCCATGTAACAAGAGAACATTGCACGGGAAAAAATATCGAAGTACTTTTCAAAGATATTTGGAAATGCTCCCAGGAAAGCCAAAACACAAACGAAAACAATCATGTAACGAACTCGTTTCTTGGTGACAATGATGGTGTATCGATGTCTAAGAGTAAGCGCCAAGTATCTGTCTATACTGATACATGTGACAATCATGACTGAAACAGATCCAAGGAACAATCCAAAGAATATGTATAAAGAAGCCATTGCGCATAGCCCTCGTATATTGCCTTGCAAGAAGAAAGTACCACCTACGATGTGTAAAGGATGAATCATCAAACCAAACAGTAAATCTGCAAAAGCTAAAGTGGTTATCAGTAAGTAGGATGGCGTTTGTAGGTTCTGGGATCTCAAGATGGCCACGATAATCATTCCATTCCCAAGTGTTGCAGTGACTGCTAAAATAGCATTCACAAAAATATTAATAATGTTACCAGCATCTACCCACTCGGGCCTATTTCTAGTAACTTTTTCGATGAATACCTGGGCAATTCTTGGACAGTTTTCGAACGACCTATCCATGTTTGAGCTTAAATCTAATAGCAAGCAAGGCTGAACGTGAAGATTTCTCCAGAATATAGTTGCAATAAAACAGGTGCACGAAATCTTCAGTTAAATCCAAATGAACCAAAAGATAACTATGCCACGACTCTGCGTAATAAGTACATGCTAGTAACGTTCGATTGAGGTTTGTTACGAAATTGTTGTAAAAACTTGTATAATTTTCTACCAGTGTCAATATGCCAAAGGATAGCTTAGACATCTGTTTTTGCGTCTTCATAAATTGATGCTAAGGAACATCTAGGAAGCATCTGTATTGATTTTAATAAGAAAAACATTGCGGTAAAAAGCTAGTGATATACTTTAAATTAAAATGTTCATGTTTTTGTTTACGTTGTCATGTTAATCAATATATAGATCTTGTCTATGGATGGAGGATGTTCCAACGACTGCCAATAGCATATGTTGGCAACATCAAGAACATTAAAACTACTACTTCGTAATGTCTTCTCTAACAAATGCATAGATGAAAGTATGTGGACCGCGTGGCACTAATGAAATAGTAGAAGATAATATAGGTAAGTTGTAGTGC